GGAATGATGGATGGATGGATGAATGGATGGATGGATTGATGGATGGGTAAGTGGATGAATGGATGGAATGATGGATGGGTGAGTGGATGGATGGATGGAATAATGGATGAGTGAGTGGATGGGTGAATGGAATGATGGATGGGTGAATGGGATGATGGAAGGGTGGACGAGCGTCTAAATAAATGAATGAAAAATAAATGAGCAATCAATATTAATTCTAGGGCATGGCTTTGCTTCACTGGGCCTGYGATCGTGGTCATGACCATGTCGTAGATTACCTCATCAAAAACAAAGCTGATGTAAATATAAGAGTAAGTATTGGTTTTCAAAACACTTGTTACAAATTTTTGAAGTCAATAAAGGTTAAATAATCTCTTGTTTTGTCACTAGGATGCTGAGGGACAAACTCCACTTCATTATGGTAGGTAACAGAGGGTACACAGGCAAAACCACTAGGGCAAAGATACACTGTTCTAACCAAAACAAACAAAAAACTTGTCATCACTTATCACCACCGCAAGCACAGCAGTGGCGCAGCTCAATGGTGTCGAACGAAAAGCATGTGAAGGTGCCTCTGGCGGCAGCTATACAGTCCATGTATGACCCCAGAGCACAGCTCTAACCAGTTTGAATTAGTTAGGGCTGATTTGAGAGGAGGGAAGAAAAACCGAAGGACCGGAAAAACCCTCGGAGTCAGAAAGAGAACCAACCAACTCAGCTCACATGGAGTGACTGGGATTCGAACCCCGGACCACAGAGATTAGAGGCGAGTATTTTACCACCACGCCATCCTGACCAACATGGCTGCCACAAGAGAAAGGTCCATTACAGTAGTTTTCAATATTACACAAACTCACAGCCTGAGTTAGCACCACTTTGGGGAGGGGAGGGGGAAAGCGAGAGGTACCAAAGCACCGCTATGCGGACTAACAAACTCAATACATACAAGCTGCATGCAGAAATTTGTCTTCTTTATTCCATCAATAAAAATGATTAGTCAGTTACGCTACCTTTTATATTTTTGACTGGGGGCCAGAGAAAATTCCAACTTACAACCATCAAGAACCATCAAGTTCAAGTTATAAAGAGTTGTTAAGTTGTGATGTATTTCTGGTTCCAACTGCTCACTAAAACCACTAACATAATGCAAAAACTGTCCTGTCATAGAGGAAAAGCTTCATAGAACTGGTTTTCGTTTTTGAAGCAGAAGTCTTTTTCCCGCCACACAGGTGACATTGCACTTAAAGGCCCTATCGATACAACTGTCAAAGAAAGAATCTTATTCTCAAGAGATTGACATGTGGTCTAAGATTGGAAACGTTATGCCCAAGTTTAAAAGGTCTTAATTAGATTTAATCTTAACTCCCTTTTAAATTTTTTTTCCAAAGCTGCCACGTGTGAGTTTCTATCCATAGTAAAACAACTACTAGATGCAAAGGCCGACCAAACTATACAAGACGATGATGGCTGTCTGGCAGAAAATGCTACAGACAATAAGGAAATAATCAACATACTACTTAGAAGAGAGTAGGCTTGCTGTTGGTGAGAAAACATGGGTGGGGAAGGTAAAGTTGTAATTTTGCTGTTCTCTAGTCCCTTTCATCTCTTTAGTCCACAGGCTTCCCAGATGTATTTATTTCATCTTTATGTCTTAATAATACTTTATTTTTATTCTAACGAATTCATATTGTATAAATCTTGAATCGTAAACATTGTTTCCTTTTACAAATTAATATAATAATTATTTATAAGATGTTGGAGATATTGTAAATATAATTTTGGACTTTTTGAAGCAGAGTTTCAGTTTTTTTCTTGCTATTTATGGAACACTTTTAAACTTTGAGATCAGAGGTAGTGAAGTGTTTTGAAAAGCGAGGTGCCTGATCAAGATATTCTTGGCTCCACCTAAAACATTCTCCTTCCCCCCCAGGCCCGTAGTGGGGGTAGGGGCTAGGGGGCTTTGGGCCCCTCCAATAATTTCACAATTTTTTTTTAAGCGAACGTCCAGCTAATTTTCAAACACTATTATCTTAAAATTGATAGAGGAGACTCATTTTTCCAAAAAAAAGTTCACATAGTTGGCATTTGTAAATGATGAAAACTCAAAACAAGACATGCGGAAAAGCACATACTTGAAAGAAATATGGGGCCTGGCAAAACGAGTCCCCCCCCCAATAATTTTACCCCTGCTACAGGCCTGCCAATACATGATTTTCAATCAAAAGATGCAAAATAGACACTTCATAGGTATGCGTAGTTCACAATCATGCACTTTTTGATGTTTTTATTTAAAAGCTTTAACGGGGCACTGTTGCTCTTAGGGATAAGCAATTACCTGCTTCAGAATTGCATTTTCTTTAGACTGTATTATAGCAGTGGTACCGGCACTTGTCTCTCAATCTCTGGGGTCTTGGGTTTGATTCCTGGACTCTGCATCGCATGATAGGTCTCTCCCTAGCCTCCTTCGCAGGCTACTCCATGTCTTTTATATTCTCTTTTGGGATCCCTGTATTAAATTTTATGGCAGAAAAGAACTAGGAACGAGAGGAGGAGGAGTGGGGACGTTTTTTGTCCTCACCACAGGAAGCCCAAGGAGCAAAAAGAACCAAGTAGATTCAAAGGTTTTTCTCAGGGTTCTCCCTTTGCAGTCAGAACAGTAACCATGCTAGCCGTCCCCTGACTAGACCACAGGGTTCGTGCTACTCCTTAAACTCCTTGAATTTAATTCACGTTTTCAAGGGCACTAAAAAGCTCTTGAATTTTACAATTTTAGCGAAACTCCTTGAACTTTTGCTTTGATCATTACTTGCATGGTTCTGAAATAGATCTAGTCAGAAAGATTGGAAAATCTGAAAGTCGGCCATGTGCAACCACCGTGTAAAACCTTGGCATAGTTGGCTGAACATACTCCTTGAAAATTCATTTTTGGGTCCTTGTATACTCCTTGAATAGTACTTGAATTTTAAGTGGTTACCTTAGCACTAACCTTGAGAGCAGTGCAAAGCCTGACTCACACTCTTTCTGTCATACCAAAGGAGGATCTACTAGTATCCCACAATGTATTGCGAGTGAGATATAACATTTTTCTATTTAAGGAGGCTCAGGGTAGTTATGGTCTGGCACACCTAGCCGCATTGAAACGGCTACAACTTCGTCTTGAATAACTCGATCTGCAAGCGCTTTTCACACAATGTCAG